AAGTAGGCGGAAGTTTTCAATATATTAGATTTAATGACAACCATTCTTCCATACGAAGCTGTTGCATTATGATAAGAATACGATTCTGGCTTGACACAATCAAAGCGTTTACTCAAGATCATTTAAGTAGTATTTTGAGCTCACTAGCAAGGACGCGGTCACCTGTCGAAAAGAAGACACTCACCAACGCTGTGAGTTTACCGAGGCCTGTCTCTTCTTCAATGTCACTATGACTGTAGTCATGTCGGCTATAGGGTAACATTTTTTATGCACTCGCACCTCTACGGTTTGATTCCAACGTAAGCTTTCACTAATGCAATGGGATAGAGTCAAAATGGCATTCCTGTCTTCATATGATCAGTTTTTTGAATGCAAGAAAAGTGAGTTTTAACATAAAAGTCAAGCCCTTCTCCTAATTCGCGGGATAGCATGTGCAAATGGTGTGCTTCAACAACAACTATAGAGAAGAAACTCGAGGTGCAAAGCAATCCCAGCAGATGAAACGGCCAAGTGAATGCGATGCACGAGGACCCGATAGGCGAGTAGGCCATAATTGCATAAGTGGAGCAAAGTAAAAACTTCGAACTTGTTGAGCCTAGCACATAATGAATTTATATTGGATAGATCTTGATGACCGGATCAGTTTGACCGTAATATTAAACATATGGCTGCTCGTTTACCCACTCTCACTCTCTGCCATCTTTGGTTCAGTTTGATGCTATTATCGTTCCAGTTCTACCACAAAATTCGAAGGAGTCTCACAGAAAATATCTATTTGAGGGCCTGAATCCGGTCTCAAAAGTGCTTTGAATCCTTATAAATTACCTTTCTCAGCTCGTTTTTTGAGCGCCTTATGAAGTTCTTGTTTTCGTGTTAATGTCGTTCTTAACCGTCCCTGCAATCCAGTCCACCGTTGTCGGGCTGTCAAACCTCAAAACAGTCGTCTATGTACTTTAATATTAACTAAGAATCAACGGACGCTTCTATAATTAAACGCACCTCCAAATGAGAAAAATAGTTATTGGCTCAAAATTACGTTATATATTGCCTGTTATACACACGATTCCCGATAGAATGCAAAATATATACTGCTGATTACTAAGCTGGTCGCGTCTACACCATTGAGTAGTCAACCAAATCACGAGATAACCGATTAAGTTTTTCGTAAATATAATTGTGCAAAATTCGGTTGTCAGTCGTACACCACGTTATGCGGTCTAGGTTGACTAGGACTCTATTTCCTTTGGATATTTGTGAATGTTGCCGATCATGACAGGACAAACGAAAGCCTAGCACAGATTCATCTGCTTTGCAGAACACTGCGCTGAGGATATATTCGCACAAAGCAATCTCTAATACCCTGTGAATCCGTAAAATGATATCGCTTATATTAGATGATATTCGGCTTGAAGACTAAAGATCAAATCACAGGTTTCTCTTGGTGGTCTGATGCCGAAGGAGAAAATGGTAGGACTGGAAGAGTACGCAGTGCGGGATACAAGTTTTGAAGTCGCCCTAATGACATGATCTTTTGTATCTGTCTTCTGACAATCCTGGTCAACGACCACAACTGAAGAGTCGTATGGGCGGGGCCAGCATGAGCATTTGTGTTACAGAGTGCATTGAGACATATTTTGAGGCCGTAGATTTTGTCTTTTATTATTTCATCTGCTTGATCGACTTTTTTATTTTTCGTTTGTAGTTAGGGCTTAACGACTACAAGTAAATCATATATATAAAATCTCTTCATCCTATTTCGCTTAGGGTGATCATTGAATAGTAGTTGAATTTTCCCACAATGATATAAATATACCTTATGCTTCTAGTGAATTTAACATAGCCTTAATTTCCAAACGGTATTTGCATCCAGGAAAGAGTGGAATTCAATTTTATACCTTGCCTAAGTCTCATAAGCACCCTCAGCGGGACTCGAACCAAGAAAGTTTAGCATATAATCTCGGCAAATTATCCACTACTCCGCATTGCCGCTTGTGCCCTTGGGTCACAGGACAGATATAAATTTAAAGGAAGGCGAGACACTTTCTCATATCACTTCCTGTGATGGGATTATCGATGAAGCAAAGTTATATTTGCTATAGCAATCGACTACATTACTTTTCTTTAATTTGAAAGTGGGTTTTCGAGACTCTCAGTATATCATATCATATATATATATATATGAAGCATACTCAACATATGTATGAAGACCAAGATGGTGCGGCCTTTTGTGTGGTCGCAGTCTCTTTTCGTTGTATAGAGGTTGTATGACCTTGTTTTCGCAACATGGTCATATTGGTAGGAAGACTTATTGG